GTGATCTCGGCTCACCGCAACCTCCGCCTCCTGGGTTAAGGCAATTCTCCTGCCTCAGCCTCCTGAGTAGCTGGGATTACAGGCACGCACCACCATGCCCAGCTGAATTTTTGTATTTGTAGTAGAGACGGGGTTTTACCATGTTGACCAGGATGGTCTCGATCTCTTGACCTCGTGATCCACCCGCCTCGGCCTCCCAAAGTGCTGGGATTACAGGCGTGAGCCACCACGCCCGGCCAGTCATACTACATTTTTATAAACAATATAGAAAAAGAATCTGGGTACATAGACCAAAGGTATTAAAATGTATTTAATTTTTTTAACGGTAACTTTTTCTCCTGCTAGATACATGAGCAAAGATACATTTGTTATATCCCGTCTTGAATGTTTTTCTGGGGTCTGAACCTTAGCTGAAATATTTATTGGCATCTAACAACCAACAGCCAAGAAGGGTATGAATGAACTTTATTCTTTAATCTTCTGGTCATGACTCTGGACTGAAAATAAGACAGGGCCAAATCCAAAAGAATACTCTGTGGCAAAACCATTGGCCAAAATGTTAATCCTAGGGCATGATTCATCCACCAGCAAGTGGGCTGTTGAAAGGGAGGCCATTCAAAGGCTACGTTGTGACAAGAAAATTGGCATGTGTCCTTACTGCTCTCTCTCTGAACAAAAAAGAGGGGAAAGACATTCACACAAAGCAAACTCATATCCTTGTGACAGAAGACCCAACCAACCAGCCTGGGCAACAAAGTGAGATCCCATCTCTACAAAATTAGCCAGATATGGTGGCACACACCAATAGTCTTAGCTACATGGGAGGCTGAGATGGCAGGACTGCTTGAGCCCAGCGGTTCGAGGCTTCTGTGAGCTATGATTATGCCACTGCACTCCAGCCTGCGTAACAGACTGAAAAAAAAAAAAGAAGCAAGAGAGAAAATGGCCCAACCAAAATGACTGATTTTAAAATGTAAACCCATCCTACCTGCATATACCAGGGAAAGCAATGTAAACCCAGGGGTGTAAGAATTTGTGTTTTGTTCACTGTTGTATCCAGTGTCTAGAACACTGCCTGGCTCATAGAAGGCATTCGATAATTTAAAAAAACAAACAAAAAAACCCACCTGAATCCAGCCTCAATCACATCTCTATCTGAAGAGTTTCCAACTCAGCAAATAACCTTAATACTTGCAATGATTTTCTTTAATGACCACTCTTTCCCACGTATGTTATCTCTCTTGCATGATCTTAGAATAAAACAGTGCTGTACCTAAGTCAACACAACAACCCAGAACTTTTAAGTAAAATAAAATTTTCCGGCCAGGCATGGTGGCTCACGCCTATAATCCCAGAACTTTAGGAGGCCGAGTGGGTGGATCACCTTAGGTTGGGAGTTCGAGACCAGACTGACCAACATGGAGAAACCCTGTCTCTACTAAAAATACAAAATTAGCCAGGCATGGTGGCGCATGCCTGTAATCCCAGCTACTCAGGAGGCTAAAGCAGGAGAATTGCCTGAACCTGAAATGTGGAGGTTGCAGTAAGCCGAGATTGCATCACTGCACTCCAGCCTGGGCAACAAGAGCAAAATTCCAAATCAAAAAAAAAAAAAAAATCCAAAGCACTTGGGCTGTTCTGATGTCAACATACAGTAGCTGGCCCTACCTTTAACCTAGGACAAGGGGCAAAAATGTACCCAAAGATGCAAATAAGCAAGCTTGTTGGGCGCAGTGGCTCGTGCCTGTAATCCCAGGGATTCAGGAGGCTGAGGAGGAAGGGTTACTTGATTCCTGCAGGTTGAGACCAGCCTGGGCAACAGAGTGAGACCCTGTCTCTGAAACAAAAAACAAAATAAAATGCCACTGTACTCTACCTGGGCAACAGAGAAAGACCAGGTTTCAAAAAGAACAAAAATAAAAAGCAACCGGGCGCGGTGACTCACTCCTGTAATCCTAGCACTTTGGGAGGCCGAGGCGGGCAGATCACCTGAAGTCAGGAGTTCAAGACCAGCCTGACCAACATGGTGAAACCCTGTCTCTATTTTAAAAAAATAATAATTAATTAAAAAGCAGTCTGTGGGTTTAGCATCTTTGGATGAATGGTAGCAGCATGAGAAAAGGCAGGTCTTTGTACCTCTGATAACCGAACTTTGACACTTCTTAGTGTTTCTTTCCAGTTGCTGTGATATGCGAATAACATATAATTAACCATTTCAAAACAAGTGGTCCAGTGGCATTTAGTACATTCACAATGTTGTGCAACCACCACCTCTATGTAGTTCCAACACATTTTTTCTTTTTTTTTTTTTT